TCGCGTGGCGGGGGTGGGGGCGAGGCGAGGAGCCGCCGTGATGGGCTGGGCCGGCCCGGCTACAGCCAGGAGGTCCTGGGAGCCGGAGTAGAGCAGACCGTGAGATGCAGGCTCGCAGAGGTCGTGTCGCTGCTAACGGGATTTTGCTCTTTTTCTTTTTTCATTTACTATTTGGCCATTTTAATTTATGTCCGCTACAGTTTTAGCCAGGGACGCTCAGCATATGGAAAGGACGAGGTTGTGGATACAGATGTGGAAGGATGAACAGCAGTAGAGGTGGAGAGGGAGACAGTAAGCCGTGAGCTAATATTAATTGAGGAAGGAATGACCCACCAAAAGGACGTATCTAGCGAGGGCCAAGTGCCCGTTCTCGAGTATTCTGAATGAATTTGGCTGTTTGGTGTTAGGATAGCGGTGACATTGGAAATCCCACGAGTATAGTAGGACCTTGCTTTGACTTTAAACGAAAACAGAAGAGCAACCCCGTTGGTAAAATCCAGTTTGGTAAAAGCAAAAATTAGCGCGTTTCCCCTGCAGGCAGAGGTCACTGGTGTCTGAAAAATTCCCTTTCTTTTCCACTAGGGGTTTAAAGCCAACTTGTCTCTCCTGCGAAGACCCGGGGAGAAAACTTACACTCAGCGTTGTAGGTTGTTTGTTGGGAACCTACCTGCTGATATTACAGAGGAGGAATTCAAAAGACTGTTTGCTAAATATGGAGAACCAGGAGAAGTTTTTATCAACAAAGGCAAAGGATTCGGATTTATTAAGCTCGTGAGTTTGTTGGGTTTTTATGTATAATTAATTAAAGGGTCCTTTTTTTTTGCTACTACAGATGTACTGGTTTTCAGACGAACATGAATCAATTGGTCTTTAAATTTTTTGTCATTCTTGCTGTGGCCGGGATACTCAATTGGTTGGAGCGTGGTCCTGTACACCAAAAGGTTGTGGGTTCAATCCTAGAGGGGGTGGCATACACAGACAACTGATTGATGCTTCTTTCACATCGGTGTTTTATGCTCTAACTCTCTCAAAAACAAACACACACACAAAAAAAACCCATATCTACAGGTGAGGATGAAAGGATAACAATGTTTTCATCATTCTTGCAGAAAAGATGAAATGTATAGTGTATAATTGTTGGTATCTAAGAATCAAGGGGAGTGGGTGGGCAAGGCATTTTAACTACTGAGAACCGTGTCAGGGTGGGAGCTGGAGGAAGAATAGGAATGGGAATTAGGCTTATGACTTTCAGAGTAGGCATTAGGCAATTTTTTAGGTCATTAACATGAGTATGTCTGATAACTTTCAGGAGTCCAGGGCATTGGCTGAAATTGCCAAAGCTGAACTTGATGATACACCCATGAGAGGTAGACAGCTTCGGGTTCGCTTTGCCACACATGCTGCTGCCCTTTCTGTTAGAAATCTTTCACCTTATGTTTCCAATGAACTGTTGGAAGAAGCCTTTAGCCAGTTTGGTCCTATTGAAAGGGCTGTTGTAATTGTGGATGATCGTGGAAGATCTACAGGGAAAGGCATTGTTGAATTTGCTTCTAAACCAGCAGCAAGAAAAGCATTTGAAAGATGCAGTGAAGGCGTTTTCTTACTGACAACGTAAGTTCTTGTGCCTATTTTAATAATTTTTGTTTATTAACTTGTATGAGGAAGTTGTGATACGACTGGAAAATAAGATGCAGCCTTCTTTTGTATTAGAACTCCTCGTCCAGTCATTGTGGAACCACTTGAACAATTGGATGATGAAGATGGGCTTCCTGAAAAACTTGCACAGAAGAATCCAATGTATCAAAAGTAAGATGGATTAAACTTTTGGCAGTTTTTTAAATTTAAGGGAGAACTTGTTCTAGTAATTTTTCAGTTTTGTTTAAAATGTGCAAAATTCTCCTAAATGAATATGCTTAATAAAAGCATTGGGCTCAGATAGTTTGAGGTTTTGAAGCAGTTATTCAAATGCCTAGTTTTTGTTTCTGAAGTATGTATATTTCACAATTTATTCTTGTTCTTACAATATGAACCAAAGTGGTCTTTGCCCCTCGGTGTTCCTTACAAGTGATAGGGCAGGGGGAGAGACCAGTGTTTTTAGGGGAGTCAGGTAGTGTTTCTTACGTGCATCCCAAATTGATTCACCTTTAAATACTGTCAGGGAGAGAGAAACCCCTCCTCGTTTTGCCCAGCATGGCACATTTGAGTATGAATATTCTCAGCGATGGAAGTCCTTGGATGAAATGGAGAAACAGCAAAGGGAACAAGTTGAAAAAAACATGAAAGATGCAAAAGACAAACTGGAAAGTGAAATGGAAGATGCCTATCATGAACATCAGGCAAATCTCCTGCGTCAAGGTAAAAGACTCTGAAGTTTGCTGATGGGATGGATCAATTGTCTTTAAAAAAAAAAAAAACTTACTGTAATCTCATTAATGTGAATCCAAAACAAAATTTTCCAATGTTCAGATCTGATGCGACGCCAGGAAGAATTAAGACGCATGGAAGAACTTCACAATCAAGAAATGCAGAAACGTAAAGAAATGCAATTAAGGTAAAATTTTGTTAAACTAAGCCTTTTGTTTTTAAAAAAATGTTTTTATTGATTTTAGAGAGAGGGAAGGGAGGGGAGACTTTGCTCAACCAACTGATCCACACCGTCCAAGGCCTTTGCTTCTGCATTAACATTTAGACAAAAGGTGAACCTAAATTTTGCAGTGTAGTCAAATGAAATAGAGTCAGTGTTGGTATAACATTTAAATTGAAATTGTATGTACAATTGTCCATAAGTACTGTAATGCTTATTTTCTTAGCCAGAATGCCCCTAGGGCTATTCTACACTCACTCTCCTGGTCTTTTATGTGTTTGCCCCAACCTAGTCTTTGTAAAGCTGTGAGGCAAAGGCAAACTATTCTCTCTGTCGCTCTTTTTTTTTTTTTTCCAAATTGAGTTTGAAAAGATGTGGATAACACTTTGATTTATATACTTAATAAACATTTCCAGACAAGAAGAGGAACGACGTAGAAGGGAAGAAGAGATGATGATTCGTCAACGTGAGATGGAAGAACAAATGAGACGACAAAGAGAGGAAAGTTATAGCCGAATGGGCTACATGGATCCAGTAAGTAAACTTCTGTTGTAATCTAATTAGAGTAAAATAACATATCATATCCACTTATTTTAAACATGTATTATGATGATATGTCTTTTATCATTTTTTTTTTGGTAGGCCAAAGATTCTTTGGGAAGAAGCTTTTAGGTTTTTGAAAATTAAGTCAACGGGTAAATTTAAAAAATTTTTTTCAGAGTCTAGTTTTTTAAATTGCCTTAAAGGAACCTTTTTTATTGGTTAGACTTTAAGTTTGGGGATCTTTTTGTACTTTCAAAAATGGTATGGGTATAGTACAGATACATGAAAGTTTTTTTTTCTTTTAGAGAGAAAGAGACATGAGAATGGGTGGTGGAGGAGCAATGAACATGGGAGGTAAGCATGAAAATAAATTAGCAGTGCCATTAGAGAGCAATATTCTGGTTTAGTTATAACAGGCATTTTTGTTTCCTCTAGATCCCTATGGTTCAGGAGGCCAGAAATTTCCACCATTAGGTGGTGCTGGTGGCATAGGTTATGAAGCTAATCCTGGAGTTCCACCAGCAACCATGACTGGTTCCATGATGGGAAGCGACATGGTAATGTATCCTGTGGGACGTAGTACAAAGGAAATTCTCATTTTCACAACTTGTGTGTGTGTTTTATTTTGTTGTGTTTTTTTTTAAAGTAGGTGACTGGACTTCTTTTAGTTTCCCTATCATGTAAATCGTAATATTGAGGGATACTTTGGCAACATAGAACTCAGTGTGTGGTAACCTAAACAGATATGGTTGCCAACGCGAAGTCAGTGCTGTTAGTATGTTGGAGTTATCTTTGGCAATAAGTAGACTTAGGTGCTTTCCATTATATTGCTTGCGTACTTTTGCACTCCATCGCATGGCAAATCCAAATTCTAAACGTTAGATAATGTACCTAATTATTCTACATGTAAGTGAGCGTAATCAAATGGCAAACTGTTGTTCACTCAGCTGGCATTTGCCATAACTATATGAATTAGACTTGTAGTTTGCAGCTCCTAGGCATGTTTTACTGATGTGTAGAACTCTGACCTATATTTGGTGTGGCTTCTATCCATGAAAAGGGAATTGTTTAAAGTTTTGACTCGTCGTTTCCCACCTGTTGGGCTGTCTATAGGTACACCTTCTAAAATAAACTGACATCTGTTTTGCTACAGAGTAGCAACAAAACCAATGATAATTTTAAGCATACTAGTTGTGTGCATTTGATCTGAACCTTCTTGATGCTATCATATTTTAACTGCAGATAGCCTATCCGGATGCTTTAGAACAAGCATGTGAATTGGTCTGAGTGGCTGTGTTTAGGGCTTTACAAATCCTTAGGAGAATTGAATATTGACTTTAGAAATGGGTTTAAGGAAGAATACATTTTCACAACTGAATTAAGTCTGATTAGTTCACCTATAGGATTTTGGCAAAGGAAGGAAGCTGCAGCATGTAACTCACTAATTTCACTTTACAAATAAGGAATATAAGAATTTAGTATGGGACCTCACCTATTTTAAAACCCATTTATGGCTTTTGGGGAATTAGAACCGTAAATGACTGGTTACATTAAATGTAGTGCTATAAGCTTTCTTCAAATTAAATTTTAAAAATATTGTGGGTAACATTTTCACTTATGTGCTTCCTAAAAGGCATATTGTAGGTATGTAAACAAATTTGTTAAAAATGTAACTTCACATGATGTTCCCACAGTTAAAATTCTGTATTCCATATAACAGGTTTAAAAAAACCTGTGGGTTTAAGATGTAATGATATAATTGTGAAATCCCCAAATTTTCCTTAATAGCCTTCATGAAATATATAGTACAGTGTGCTAAAACCCTAAAATTTTTAAGTTTTTGAAAAATAGTTTAAAGGATTGAGATTTAGTCTTTTTTTAAAATACGTTTTAATTGATTTCAGGGAGGAAGGGAGAGGGAGCGAGATACCAGTAGAAACATCAATGATGAAAGAGAATCATCAATCAGCTGCCTCCTTGCATGCAAACCCGGGCATGTGCCCTTGACTGGAATTGAACCTGGGACCCTTCTGTCCGAAGGCTGATGCTCTATCCACTGAGCCAAACCAGCCAGGGCGAGATTTAGTCTTTTTAAGTAGCCCTGTAGTATTTTGTAAGAGACATGTTGAAATTACAACATAAACCCTGATGCCATTTTTGTATTTTGTTTAAATTTTTTGGGGGGGGCGGGTGTGTGGTAATACTTAGTAACATCTATTTTAAATGGAATTTGAAAGATAGTTCAGGCTGCTGTGCTTCCATATCTCTAGGGTTTTTCTTTTTGGATACATAGCTTTCTAAGACTGAGAAGTACCTGAAACTAGATGGAATTAGATGGAATAATAAACTCCTGCTTTATTGCAGTCACTTAAGCATGGTGCTAGGCTGTTTGGGAGATACCCAGACCATGGAATCATAGCTAAGTGCCAGTGGACTTTTCAAAGACCTAAGGGAAAAGTTGGACTGTTAATGGGGGTGGGCTGTATATCCAGTCAATTTGCAATAATACAGAGTAGTACTGTAAACATAAGTGTCTCTTGTCAGATAGTGATGGCTCCTAAAGGTGGTACACCTGTGAGAATATGGCAACACATTTTTTTTTTAATCAAGTTACTGTGCCGGTAAAATGACTAAATCTATTAGTCTTTTATGCTTTTTTTTGTAGTCTGGTAGCATTTTATTAAAACTTTGAACCTTTTAAGATTTCTGCAACTTAGCAGATGTGTCTTGAGATCTTGAAAAGCACAAGGTTTCTTATGCAGCACATGCCACTAACTGGTGAGTAGGTCCTTTGTCACTTCTTTGAGTGAATTGAATCTGTCTGGTTGGGCTTGCTAGGCTTACTTGGAAATTAATTTTCCTGTTCAGACCTTGAAAGTGAGAAGTTTGCAAGCTTTTCAGTGGTTTATTCTGATGTGAAATTTCTTTAACTCATTTTGGAATGGGTTTTCACATCTACACTAATTCTTAAATTTTTTAGCACTACAGGGAAGATCTATTCTTTGAAACAGGTGTATGAGAATGGCTCAAGTGGGAACATACCACAAGGCATGTATTATCGTAAACTAATTTTCAAATTACCCTTTTTTCCTTTCTATGTTCCCGGTACCTGTGGATCGACTCATTGGTGATTGTATCGACGAACGTTGACTACGGAACCTTCTAAAATATTTACTTAACACACATGGACATCAACTACATATAATGAACTGTTAATTACTGTTCCAATAGCGTACTGAGCGCTTTGGGCAGGGAGGCGCGGGACCTGTGGGTGGACAGGGTCCTAGAGGAATGGGGCCTGGAACTCCAGCAGGATATGGTAGAGGGAGAGAAGAGTATGAAGGCCCAAACAAAAAGCCCCGATTTTAGATGTGATATCTAGGCTCTCATTCTAGTTTGTTTTTGTCTTTTCTTGTTTAGATACCTTATGGATGTTAGCAGTTTATTGACCTAATATTTGTAAATGGTCTGTTTGGGCAGGTAAAATTATGTAATAGTGTTTTGAAACAGGATTTTTTCCTTTTTATTTCCTTTTTTTTTTTTAACTGTATAATGTCCCACAAGTTATGGCAGTGTACCTTGTGCCATCGAATTTCCAAAGTGTACCTTTTTTTTTTACTGTGCTTCAAATAAATAGTTAAAATATTGATCTTCAATTTTGCCATTCATGCTTCCATGCACATTAGGCTAGGTATTCCACTTTGAAAGCATGAGAGTGTTGAGACCTTCAAATGGCATGTGCCATTTCTGGGAAATGTATTTGTAGGCTAAGTATTGCTTTTTACAAATAAGTACCCCTTTGTTTTAAAAAGAAGAAATACATACTGAAGTAGATTCGTGATTTGATTTGTTTGGCATTATAGGAAGCAAGCGGTGCTAAGTACTTTTAAATGGTTATATAAGTAAAACAACTGTAAATCTTCATTCAGGAATATGTATTAAGATTATGGAATTGGGTGTATGACTATTGGTAGGGGGAGAAAGTGGGCATGACTAAATGGATCTTTTATGGCCCTATGAGTTATCCTTTTCTTGAAAGCTTCTGGAGAAAAAGTGGAAAGATCATTTTGTTGCATTCCTCCGTTCTTGTTTTTAAAAGAATAAGTCCCAAGCCCTACAACTGGCTTGTATTGAACTTTCACATTTGAATTAAAGATTATTAAACATGAAGTCTTTTCATGTATTACTTTAAGCGATTTATAAAGATGGGGTTTAGTCTGAAAATTTCAACTTGAAAGTAAGAAGTATAGTAACCATAAACGAGGTATAGCTATATATACATTTGTACTCTGAACCTTTTATGTCTCCTTTTGTTACTTCATTGGGCAAAAACTGTAGGACCATAAATCTACTTGCTCTCTTTTCAAAGAATTAGTGGTGACTGTTGACATGTAGGGTTGCAGATAGCCATTCATTCTTAATTGTAAAATATTTATTAATCTGTTTTTCCATAGTTTCCTTTTGATGCAGCACTAAATCTGGAGAGAGTTGCTTATGCTACACAGTGCAAATATAAATGTCCCTCCCACCATAAAGCTTTGGAGTGTTTCGATGGTGTTGTCAGTTTATTGTCAACTTCATTGAATCTCCTTCCATTAGAATGAGATATTTTGACTTAATATTAAAGCACATCGTTACTGTTGTCTGTTAGTACAACAGTGGGAATCTGTTTTCCCAGTGTATCTATGTTAGCAGAGGGAACAGCTTCCTAAAAGTAGGTAAAATCAATGGCTTGGCTTTGTTCTTAGTTATGGTTCCATTCAAATTTGTACATTATAGAACTCTTTACTATGGAATGTGTCTTCCTCCTTTTCACCTCTGTTCTTGGTGCTAATTGGCAAAAGTAAAATTTTAACAAATGCTGAAGTTTAGTATTGTGCCTGAGTACAAAGGGAAACCTATTGTTGAAATAATTGAGCACCTTCTGCCTGGGAAACTGAATAATACTAAAAGTAAAACACTAGTGGAGTATAAAGGCATGTCACCCAATTCTGGTTGTGTGACTGACAGGTACATGATGTGCTAATTAAGGAAACCTCATTAGAAAATGTTCATTATTTCTATTCACCAAGACACCTGGAAATGGGTGGTAGTTCTACCATAATTATATTAATGAGGAAGTTTTGTCCCCAGTTAAGATATGAATTGGTGCTATATATGAGATTTTTCTGTACGGAAACAAGGATCTTGGTTTGAAAGAAGTCCATTATAATTTGATTGGATTGTGTAGTAGGGACTTGACTAATGATAAAATAAGGGGTGTTCATGGGACACCCGTGGAGGGTGAACTTGTATGTGTGTGGGCGGGGGCTGGTGGGGAAATGGGATAATCTGCCTATAAAATTAATGTTTCAGTTTATTTTTCAGATTACATGCCTTTCTTTATAAGGGATGCTGGCACAGACCCCTAAAATAAGCTTTTGGTAGTACTGTACCTTTGAAGAGTGGTGAAGGATGCTCATGGATAATCTGCTGAAAGTTGTGGTTTTGATAGCCTTACTGAGGGCTGTAGAATTGCTAAATGTTGTTTAGCAAATAATCTTGCTCAGTTTCAACTAAGTTTTTTTACTTTTATCACTGAAATAGCAGTGTACCAAGGGTTGTAAGGTACTCAAATAGACTTTCTGTAAGTCTTGTATATGATAGTTTTTAGCCTAATGGGAATTTAAGTCATCTTAAAAAAAAAACAGTTGCCTAAAAGCTGATATGAAACTTGGGATGGGAGAGGGAAGGTAGTAGTTTCAAAGTACTTAGCCATTTTTCTCATTTGAAGAAATCACCTGCCCCCATTTTCCCCTTCTCCATTCTCATAATTTTGTTTTTAAGAGGAACACTGATCATTTTAAAACTTAGTAGTCCAAATCTTTAAGAACCGCATTCTCTACGAGACCCCAGTATATTTTAATAGGTATCTCATAAGCTTTTAACCCATTGGCTCACATTTAGTGAAATCACAATCCTTCTTTCTTTAGAACACTAATTGAACTCATTAACAAGTTCTATAAACCCTACCACTCTTTATGTAGATATACCACTATTATAAACATTATAATTTGGGAAATTGTAATGTTACGCCTGTGCAATTTTTATAAGTGGCATATTATGGCAGATAAAAACTTAGATACTTGGCTTTTCTTGGGCAAGCCACTAAGTTTTGGTGGAATGTTTTCTGGTGTTCTTGGACTGCAATTATGCACTATTAAAGTAGTGGCCTGCTACATAACTGCATTTAGCCAGCATTTCTGCAGTGCGTAACTGTGAGGAACGTAGTACCGCAAATGGCAATGGACATTAGGACCCGGATGTAGTATTCCTGCTTGCTCCAAGATTCTCATTGCCGACTGCATACAGGTAGGTAACAAGCAATATAATCTAACTTGGTGACTTGCTATGTACTTTTATTCCGTGGGCATTCTGACATCACACTTCTGACAATGAAATAACAGTGCAGCACCTAACACTTGTATGGTAAAGCTAGCTTATCAAAAGTGCGTGGGTTTGGGCTTAGAGCTGTAATTTGTCAGGCAGAATTCAGTGCTGTTGCAGTTCTCAGATAAAAAGTGCAAACTTGATTCCTTGGTATATCTGATTCAGTTGTGTGGTTTCCTTTAGTTGCATTGTAACTGAAGATAACATGGAACATATCAGTGGTGTGGGGGAAAGGGAACCAAACCATACTTGGGAGGTAGAGTGCTTTTTAGCCTCTTGATATGGACTGTATAGCATGTGATAATTAGTCTCTGTTGTAGCAACTGACCTGCCCATAGGTCAGCAATATCAATAATTCAGAATGCAATCTTGGTAATTATTCTGCAGGTTGAGTGAATTAACACTATAAGTACAGGGTGGTTTTTTTTGTAATGTGATTTAATACATTTTTTTAAATGAGCTCCATGGAAACATCTTTGTTACTAACTTGGGCTTAGATGGGAATCTAATGTGAATAGTTCAAATTACATGATTTTACTAAGTATGTCTATATTCTAAACCTGGGGAAAATTGGTGTGGCACATTGACTTGCCTACAGTTGGATACATGGTGGGAATCATTTCCCAAACATAAGACTTCGTCGTATTCTGTAGGATAACTGCAAATATTCAGAGTAGGTTTTTGAATTTGGTTACCTTAGCTTTAGGGATATGATGTTATAATTCAAGATTTTAATTACCAAAAAAAGGTCTTAACCACCTTATTTTGTTGCTTAGTACTTAAGCTTTGCATCAGCTATTATTCCAGACCACAACTCAACTTTGTTCTCTGAACTGGTTTTTAGCTAGTGTGCATGAGAAACATCTTTCATATATAATGCTTTCTGCTCTGTAACTGGAAGGTTTGAGGTTTATTTTGCATAAATGTGTGAAAACTCTTCGTGAATATGAGAATTTTCTTCCATTATATCAAGAAAAATGGCTTGCTCTTTAGCAAGCAATTCACAAGGTGGGGACAAATTTGTATTGTAAATGCATAGACCATTCAAGCAAATAACTTTTGACTCTCCTGCTAGATGAAAGAACAAATGGTGATTAGTGTAGCTCTCTACATGAATAATATAATGCAAAGCAAACACAGTGCTTAGGTATTAGTGACAAGAGTGTCACTAAGTTGGCATATAACCCTGATGGAGTTTTCCTATGGCATGATCCATTAAATCGGTGGCCAGCACTTGCTGCCGTGATTTTAGGGATTGAGTGTTTAGAAGCTCAGGTTTATTTCTTAAACAACCAATAACAATTTTGAGAGAATGTGCTTGTTGTAATAATGGACTTCAGGAACATCATTGGGGTGGGGGGTTAACTTTGCTTCATTCTGCTTCTTTTAAGACGAATAGGTTTTTGCACTTTCAAATGAGAAACTTGTGACTTAAGTCGATTCTTATTAGTTTGGATTTGTACATAGCTATAATTTGTAAATCTTAGTGCAGAGGGTCTTAAAAAAACGACTCAGTCAAAAATCTGGGAATAAATGGGTTTCAGTAATAACACTACTGAGGTGCTTGCATTGTATTTCATAAGCCTTGTTACAAATCAAAATTACTCTTTTTAATCAGAATGGTCTGATGTTCAGAGGTGTGATGCCAGAATGCATTTTCGTACTGTTAGGCCCTTGGAACAGATACAGGTGCTTTCTGAAAGATGAAAGAAATGCAATGGGTGCTTTTCACACAAGGTTGCAAAACCTACAAAGACTGTAATAATAGTCTCACCCCCAATAGAGATAGATGCGTGTGACTAGTTTTGGACTTTTAACCTTAATGGGGGTTGCATGTCTCCTATTGTTAATCATTGTCAGCTGCAGTGACACGATCCCCAGTCCTGCATTTACTGTCCTTCCCTTAATGAATTGTGGACAGGTTTTAGAGAGCCAGGATGTTTGTTCTGGGCCTTTATTTGGTTTGGGCTTTAGCTGATAATGTTTCAGTGCTCTTGTCAGCTAGTGCAGTTTTCAAATGGCCTATTAGGGAAAGAACTCCGAGGATTTGACTGCTCCTAATAATCATCTGTCATTGCTGCTAGATAATGATTGGCAATTTTTAAGACTCAACTGTGGAAATCTCACAGTTGTTGGTAAACCATCAACCATAAAAATGTTGCTTTTGAACACCAGTGCTGAAAAGATTTTATTCAGAGGGTGAAAAGGGCGGGCTGGTTGCAGCATAGGATAATCTGGAGAATGGGAAGAATGCAAAACGATATAGTATCCCTTATGGATGGTAAATGTGCAACAGGGAACTATCAAATGCCCTTGGCAGTAACTGATAATCAGGGAAGAAGAAAAACCTAGAATTTGAATTAAGGCTGATCTGTCCGGTTTTTGTGCAGTGGACCTGCAGGTATATATAATGAAGGTGAATGTCTTCTCCCTCAGAAAAAAAAAAATCTCAGGTTCCTTGCTGTCCCAATAAGGCAAGCTCTTCCCTGCCCTAACTTAAAACTCAGTGAGGACTTAGGGGAAAGAACGAGGCAAATACATAGGATTGCAGGATAACAACTGCATTGTGTACTGTGGAATGGGGAGGGTACTCTTGGAGGACTTCTGCTGAAGGTGGTCAGTCCACCTGAGAATGGAAAACATACTTGAATGGGGAGCAGGGTATGTGCTTTTATGAAAAGAGAACTGATGTTAAAATTAATTTGGTAAGGTAGACGTTGTCACATACCTTCACATAAGGGATAGTATATTTTGGATTGCAGTCAAACTTGTGCTCAGACTGGTGAAAATAAATAGTAGTTAGGCTTTTGTATTTTAAAGAAGACACAGTTTTCATTCTGATTCAGGTGTCTATTTTATTTATGTGAGAATAATTTTAGATTCCCCTTTCTACCCCCCATGAAGTTTCTTCCTATTTTTTTATGCTGTAACTTGCCCCCAATCTTGGTCTCTGGAATTTTACTCTTTAAATTTTGACGTTAACTAGCATTTTCAAACCTTATGCCCTTGTCTTTTATATTAACTTTTTCTTATTATTCTTTAGGTACGAATGATTGATGTTGGCTGATATTGGAGTGCTCATTTGCCTGAAGTAAGTATCCTTAGAAATCTTAACCTTAGCAGTAGAGGTCTTTTGGATTAGATTTAATGGTTAAATTTGATTTAGCCAGATGGGGTTAAACATGTTTGATTTTTATTTTTTTATTGGTTTTTTACAGAGAGGAAGGGAGAGAGATAGAGAGTTAGAAACATCGATGAGAGAGAAACATCGATCAGCTGCCTCCTGCACACTCCCCACTGGGAATGTGCCCGCAACCAAGGTACATGCCCCTGACCGGAATCGAACCCAGGACCCTTCAGTCCGCAGGCCAATGCTCTATCCACTGAGCCAAACCAGTTTCGGCTGATTTTTAAGACGTTTGTCTCACCTAAGATAATATTTCTCTTTCTGTTTTTGAAAATAGGTATGTATGTGAGAGAGTTGAAAGATGGGGAATATTACCAAAGTGTTAAATAGTAGAATTGAGAAGGTACATGGTTATGTAGAGAAAACAATCAAGAGCAGAAAAGAGGGCTTGAATTTAGTGGAGAAATGCTGTATTTTCAATTCACCTTAGGATCCACTTTAAATATCCTTAAGGTTCTTTTTTACTTATCTAGTAAATAGTAGAGTAACAACTGTCTATCTAGTCCTTGATAATAGGCAAAATTTCATATGTACAGGTGAAAAAAATTTATAGAGTATGACCGTGGTGTAGACCAGATCTTTTCTAAGCAATAACATAGCTAAATAAAACAACCATTGATTGGAACCCAAACATAAAAACACGGTTTATATATTAAGAATGTAATATGCTGAGCATGTTACTTTATTTTAATAAAATTACATTTTTAATAATAGGTGGATAATTGTTCTCAAGATGTCAAAGCATAAGCCAACCAAGAGAGAAAGCCAAAACTTGCAAGACAGAGGAAGTATCAAGGTACCTTAAGCAATCTTATTCTGTTAACTGCCTTCAGAAAAAAGGACTCTTGGGTGGTACAAAAATAATTGTGTGAATATGTCATTTTAATTTCTTCTACATTAAAATTTTCTTATAGGAAATACTGTTTTTACAATACTTAAATATTTACTTGTTTAACAGCTTTCTGAGGTTGTAGGCTTTCTTGGTTTGGCTCAAGCCTCAGAAAAATGGACTTCAGTTTTCAATTAAAAAGTATATATATGTATAGTATGTATGTATGTATTTACCTAACTCAACTCTGCTGTCTAGCTAGAAAGCAGTCATAGACAGTGTATAAACAAATGGACATGGCTGTGTCCAATAAAATTATTTTATAAAAATGTGGCTGTGGATAGTAGCTTACTAACTTCTCATCTCATAAATTGCATGTATAGATAGATATCACTCAGTTTTAAAAGGCCCTTATAATCAGTATGAAATCTAAACAATCTACATCTTAAATAAGCTTTATATATTAGATAGACTATTAAATACTATTGATACCACATTCCGTTATTAATATTTCCTTGTTATTAGGAAGTTTACTTGGTTGGTGCTAACAAACTTGATAACTGATTTTTACATCTTTGGGAAGTAATTGTTTCCTTTTATTGGCAGGATTCGGTGAACTGTGTCCAGGAAACCAGTGAAGAAGAGGGCAAAGAGGAATGAACAACCTAATTGTTAATAAAGACATCTTAAAATCAGATTGTCCTTTTATTCTGTTTTTAAGTGGGACTCTTTAATTTTCTAGAATTTTCCTATGTCATCAGCTTGTTTCTGGGTGATGTAAAGAGGTTCCATATTCTAGACCAGTGATGGCAAACCTATGACACGCTTGTCAGAGGTGACACGCGAACTCATTTTTTTGGTTGATTTTTCTTTGTTAAATGGCATTTAAATATATAAAATAAATATCAAAAATATAAGTCTTTGTTTTACTATGGTTGCAAATATCAAAAAAATTTCTATATGTGACATGGCACCAGAGTTAAGTTAGGGTTTTTCAAAATGCTGACACGCCGAGCTCAAAAGGTTCGCCATCACTGTTCTAGACATAGATTATATGTAATTCAGAACTGTTTCTTGAGACTTTTTTGGCAGAAGCTCCTTCAACCTTTTAATTAATCAATTAGATGGTACTTATGTCCTAACCAACTTGATTTGGACATCAGGATATTTTACTTTGTTTTTTTTTTTTTTTAATATATTTTATTGATTTATTACAGAGAGGAAGAGAGAGAGATAGAAAGCCAGAAACATCGATCGATCAGCCGCCTCCTGCACATCTCCCACTGGGGATGTGTCCACAACCCAGGTACATGCCCTTGACCGGAATTGAACCTGGGACCCTTCAGTCCGCAGGCTGAGGCTCTATCCACTGAGCCAAACCGGTTTTGGCAATATTTTACTTTTTAATACTCACCGAAGGACGTGCTGAGAGAGAACATCAATTGGTTGCCCTCTGTGACCAGAATTGAACCGCAGCCTTTTGGTGGACAGGACAACGCTCCAACCAACTACATACTTTAATTTGTGTGTGTGTGTGGTTTTTTTTGCTTTTTGTTTTGTTTTTAGTGAGAAATGATTGATTCTTGAATGTTCCCTGACCCTGGTTCCATCCTGCAACGTTGGTGTACTGGGGAGAGATTAACCACCTATCAGATTTTTTTTTTAATATATTTTATTGATTTTTTACAGAGAGGAAGGGAGAGAGAGAGATAGAAACATCGATGAGAGAGAAACATCGACCAGCTGCCTCCTGCACATCTCCTACTGGGGATGTGCCCGCAACCCAGGTACATGCCCTTGACCGGAATCGAACCAGGGACCTTTTAGTCCGCAGGGCGATGCTCTATCCACTGAGCTAAACCAGTTTCGTCTACCAGATGTTTTTTTGGGCCATATTTTCAAATCAGTCAATCAGGGTTCAAAGTCAACAAAATTGAGAACTCTTCCTAGTTATACCATGTAATTAGAAGATCTGAAAGACAGTTACATATTTCATAGTATAGAGACATGTTCATTTTGGTAAGCTTTTAGACATAAGGAGTCTTAGGAGAAAATTAGTAATAGATCCTTAGTACTGAAGGGATTGGGAGACCATTTAGCTTTAACAAGTTACTTAACCTCAAGTATTAAATCCCTGCTCTAGCAGGGTTATAGTTTGATTAGTAGTTGGTATTTTAAATACTTGGCACAATGTCTGACATAAGTATGAAAACATGGTGGAGGGAAACCAAGATTAAAGCACAGAACTTCTAATATGGTAAAGCCCATAAGATTTTAACACATGATATATGGGGTCATGTATTGCACCAAAATGGGTTGAATTCTAAATGCATGAGGTAAGAGGGAATATGGCAATTAAGAGTGGATGACTTGGAAGAAATTGTGAAGATTAGTGGATTGAAAGAATATGGGCAGTATTCTGAACATTTACAGATTCAACATGATCCTAGCTGACTTCATGAAATTGATAAACTGATCCTAAGATTCGTATGGCCTCTACCACACTGGAAAAAGTGGCTCAGATATCCAAATGTAGCAATGAAAACAGGTACTTGGTGGGGGTGGGTGGGTACATCATGATCCTGAGTTTGGCAAAGGATTCTTAGTTAAGATACCATTTCTGGAGACTTCTATCAGTAAAGAACACAATTAAAACCCCAATTAAAAAATAGGCCAAGGGTTTGAATAGAAGTATTTTAAAAAGATGCTTGATGCCCTGACTGGTTTGGCTCGGGGATAGAGCTGAAGGGTCCCGGGTTCGATTCTGGTCAAGGGCATGTACCTAGGTTGCGTGCACATCCCCAGTGGGGGGTGTGCAGGAGGCAGCTGGTCGATGTTTCTCTCTCATCGATGTTTCTAACTCACCCTCTCCCTTCCTCTCTGTAAGAAATCAATAAAATAAATAAAAAATAAAATAAATGAAAAGATGCTTGACGCCCTAACCGGTTTGGCTCAGCGGATAGAGCGTTGGCCTGCGGACTCAAGGGTCCCAGGTTCGATTCCGGTCAAGGGCATGTACCTTGGTTGCGGGCACATCCCCAGTAGGGAGTGTGCAGGAGGCAGCTGGTCCATGTTTCTCTCTCATCGATGTTTCTAACTCACCCTCTCCCTTCCTCTCTGTAAAAACCAATAAAATATATTTTAAAACTATAAGGTGAAAGGTCAGAGGATCTAACGTAACTACAGTTAATAGTGCATTATAGAATTGAAATTTGCCAAGAGAATTTGAATGTTCTCAGAAGTGAGGTGGTGGAACCTTTCGCAATTTATATATACAGTGGGGCCTTGACTTACGAGTGTCCCGACTAACGAGTTTTTCGAGATATGAGCCCTCTTGGCCAATTTTTTGCTTTGAGTTGCAAGCTAAAATTCGGGTTACAAGCCAGCTTCAGATACCCCACCGCTAGTTGGTGCAGTGAACGCCACAACATCAGCCCAGCATCACGTGTCACTCGTTCACTTTAAGATTTGACATACGAGTAATTTGAGTTACGAGCTCCGAGCTCCATCACGGAACGAATTAAACTCTGTACAGTCATGCGGACTGAGGGGTCCTGGGTTCGATTCCAGTCAAGGGCATGTACCTTGGTTGTGGGCACATTCCCAGTGGGGGGTGTGCAGGAGGCAACTGATAGATGTTTCCAACTTTCTATCCCTCTCCCTCTCTGTAAAAAATCAGTAAAATATATTTAATAAAAAAGATTAATGGAGCTGAAAAATTCCTTATTTAGTGACAAAGGTGTGCCACATATTACCTCTGGTGATGGTGCTACAAGCAAACCTGTGCTGCAATTTGTGTAATAGTATAGCACACACAATTAGGTACATTACATAATACTTGGTAAAAGTATTTACTTTTGTTAGAGTGTACTCTTTCTAAAAAAAAAAAAAAAAAAAGCTTGCTGTCAAATGTGATGTTATACCAGAAGCAACCTCATCTTGTGTTTACTGCATCTTAAATGCATCCTTTTTTTCTTGTGCTTGGTTTAATCTCATTTTGTAGTTATATGCTATGTAAGCTTATAGTACACTGATGTTTGCACAACCATGGAATCACCTAACGACACATTTCTAAGAATGTGTCCCTGTCATTAAACAGCACGGGGCAATCAAATCACAATGTACACTTTTTTTAAAAATATATTTTATTGATTTTTTACAGAGAGGAAGGGAGAGGGATAGAGAGTTAGAAACATCGATGAGAGAGAAACATCGACCAGCTACCTCCTGCACACCCCCTACTGGGGACGTGCCCGCAACCAAGGTACATGCCCTTGACCAGAATCGAACCTGGGACCTTTCAGTCCGCAGTCCGACGCTCCACTGAGCCAAACCAGTTACAGCCACAATGTACACTTTAAACTTAAGTAAATCTGGGTAGGGGGAGAAGATATCCCTTCAACACCCACTATCATGTCTAGAATAAAGTCAAGAGTTGGGAAGGGTGTGGAGAAACGAATTCTCACACTATTGATGGCAATTTAAAATGGTGTCAGCCAGCTTGAAGAACAGTCTGGTAGTTGCTCAAACCATTACCCTATACCCTATGTATGACTCAGCAATTCTAACACCTGAAACAAAAACATGCTCACACAAAAATATGTGAATGTTTAGCATAATAGTGAAAAGGTGGGAACAACTCAAATGTTCATGAACTGATAAATGGGTAAGCAAATTACCGGTACATATCCAAACAATGGAATATTAGCCATAAAAAGGGATGAAATAGTGATATATATACTACAACATAGATGAATCCAGTCACAAAAGATCACATAGATGATTCTACTTATAAAATGGTCAAAATGGGAAAATCTACATAGTAGATTAATGGTTGTTTATGACAGGATCAGAGTTGAGGAAGGGGAGTGTAATGGAGAATAGGGGTGTGATTGCTGAAGGATACAGGTTCTTTCTGAGGTAATGAAAATAAAATTAGTGGTGACAAATACATATCTGAATATACTAAAAACATTGTATATTTTGGATGAATTGTATGTTATGTGAATTTCATTTTTTAAAAAAAGATCTTGGGAGTTGTATAATTATGAGGCCAGAACAGAAGTCAGATCATGGAAACCCTCCTAGGCCATGTTAGGATTCTGATTTTTATCCGAAGAGCTCTTCATTGTTCTCATTAACCGCTTGAACAAGATGTATTGAAATCAACTAGATTAAAATTGCCTCCTAATTTGTCTTATTCCTTGCTCACTGTGATCTATTTTCAGCACAGCCAGTTATCTAATGCTTGCTGGCTCAGGACAACTAAGGGTGTTGACAGGGCTCAGCCAGTCAGATGGAGGCTGGAGCTAGAGACTTTCTGAAGACTGTTGAGGTGGATGGCTATTGTCTAAGATGGCTGTTTTGCTCATATATCTGATGCCTCAACTGAGATGGTTCAAACATCTGTATTGTTTCCATAAAATGATTAGATATGTCTCAGTTCCTAAAAGGAAAAGGGACCAGTGACTCTTTGAGACCAGTGACAAAGAGGGACTTTGGAGAATGACTCAGCCTGTGGTAAGGAGAGGGAGAAGACACCTAAATGACAAATGCTGGAGTAGTAATCTCAACAGATTGGAAAGCAGCCTTGCCTTGAAAAGAGAACAGGGGAAGCCAGTGTGTGTATAAGAAAAGGGTTTTGGACTGAGCAGTAGAAAAAACTTTGCCCTTGGCAGTAAAAGACCTAAGGAGG